GATGATGATGACGGCGAAACAAGTATGGTGAGACGAAGATGAATAGACGTGTCTGACACGTCTGGAGTCTAGAGTCAAGATGAAGAGAATGAGTCGTCGAATCAAGAGATGCTTCCCGTGGCAAGGGGAAAGTGTCGCCGTAGGTGTTTCAGAGTGAGGCCACCTGTACTGCAGCTGAGTTTTTGCAGAGCTGTAAGCATGTCACATGTCTTCCAACATGAGGAGCCCCACTCCGGGGCAAGCTTTTGGGGTCGAAAGCAAGGACGCTCAACTGTCAGTGATGAAAGCATGAGCCGGCAGCTTTCGAAGTTTGGGAAACCACCGAGACCACCAATTCCGAAAAACTCCAAGGACCCAAAGCCTTAAGCACAAATCCCAATCCACCCCCACCCCCCCTTTGGCTCCCCAGCTCCCGACAAGCGAAGCTTCAATCCGAAGCGCCGAGGCACTAGCCGGACACGGCTGGCTTCCCAAGGAGCTGCAACAGGCCGCCTAACTCGATCTCAGTCTTCTCGGTTTTCGCTTCAGGGGAGGCCGGGCTTACCCAGACCGCTTTCTTGTTGATGCTGTGATCGTAACTGCCCCTGGTCTTGTGGTCATACTGTGGCTGTTGCCGCAGTTTTCCTGGCAGTACCAACGTTGCAAGCTTGCTGTTTATCGTTGCCGTGTTCAGTCGGTTTTTATATGAGGACCATCATAACGACATCGTGGCTACCATGGTCCAGGTGTTGGTTTGCATATGTTTGTGTCACAGTTTGCATTGTTGATCCTAGTATTGCGGTACCAGTACTAGCCATCTTTCTGCTTTTCCCACTTGCACTGCAACCACTACGCCTGCGACTGCTACGGGCACTGTGACGCTTCGATGTGTATTACTATGACGAGTGCACGTGTGGAAATGCTCATGCTCCTCCTCCTCCTCCTCCCTCCTCCTCTCCTCCTCGTCCTCCTCGTCCTCCCCCTCCCTGTCCTACAACCACGACGACTACCACAACTACTACAGCTACTGCTACTACAGGGCTTCGAGTTCCGAAGCCTGGGCTGACGTCCGAGCTCAGGTCTCTGAGCTCTTCGCCGGGGCGCAGGCAGCTGCTTCCAAGGGCAGGCGCCGCTCTGACGCCTCTCGCCGAGGCCGTCGTCCACGGGTTTCAGATTTCAAGCTCAGGGTTTAGGGACCCTAAACCCTAAACCCCTAAACCCTAAACGCTGAAGGCTTATATGCATAGGTTTTCGGGTTTGGGGTGTTGGGGGCTTGTTGGAGGCCTGGCGGGCAAAGCCGGCCACATAAGGGAGAAACCCTCAGCATAAGAGACACCATGCCTGGGTTTGACTTCTTAGGCTCTTCGCTGACTCCACACCTGCCCTATCATTGCAGAGCCACGAATTGTGTTTGTCACAGTTCAGCGGTGGGTGGCATGTTGGCAAAGACGTTGCCATGCTCAGCACTTTTGACTCATCAGAGGCAAGAGTAGGCGCCATGGTGGCTGGAGTTGAGCTTCAACAAAAGCTGCTGCAACGGCTGCGGATGCTGCCAGGAGAGGCCCAGGCGCCAGATATTGACAAGAAGCCGAGCCCGTTAAACTCCTCACCCGACGAGGATCGCTTGGAGGATTTGGCCTCCGAGGCGAGCAGGCTGCGACAGCAGATCTTGCATGCCAAGAAGGAGAGAGACCTTGCAAGGAGAAGGAGACAGAGCACAGAGCAGGAATCGGTAAGCTTTCACACCCACACCGCGAAGCAAATCGCAAACTATCATTGTCGGTTGCAAGCGATGCACGGTACCATTACAGCTGACAAAGAAGAGGCCAATAGTCTGCGACAGACTTGTCGCAGTGACGATCGCAAGAAGCAGAGCCAGCAGGCGCTGGCTAGGAAGCTGAAAGAAGAGGCTGACCTGTGCAAGGCGCACAAGGCCAAGCTAGTTGTTGAGGTGCAGACCGAGTCGGACAAGGTGGCTGCTCTCCGAGCAGAAGTGAAGACCTACGAGCAGCGCTTAAAGGAAGCGCTGGAGCGAAAGGTCTTGGCGGAGGCGGAGGTAATGGCAGCCAAGATAGCGCAAGCAGCAGAGGAGGAGGAGGAGAAGAAGGAGGAGGAGGAGGACGATACGAGGAACTTCATTATGATGACTAGGAGCGACGATGAGCAAGAGGAGTACGACGAGGAGGAAGAAGCTAGAGTCTTGAACGACTTGGAGCTTTCCTACGAAGGCTTGGAGTTGTCGTCGATCATGCCCGTCCCTGCAGCAGTGCGGCTGGCCACAGGCCACATCTCACACCAAGACACGATGTCAAAAGCAGACATCCCTGAAACTGGCTTCCTGGAGAGAGAAGGCGTCGAGTTTGGCCGATGGACGCGGCCGTCGCCCAGCGGAAACAAGGATTGGACCGAAGAGGAGCTGGAAGCCGAGTACGGCGAGCACCTCCGAAACTTGGAGAAAGTTCTTCTGGAACTTCGGCAGGAACAGGCCGAACAAGCAGAGGAACGACGCTGCCAGTCGCGGCTTGCCGCCCTCAAGCAAAAGAAAAAAGAGGAGGCTGCAGCGGCTGCAGCTGCTGCGGGAAAGCGTTTCCCGTGGAGCCTTGCGAAGTGGATGAGGAGGGAGAAGTCCGAGACCCCGACGCCAAAGGTGTCAGTGGTGTCGGGTTTCAGCCATTTTTCGCCGTACGCGGCAATGTGCCGTAAGTATGCGGCAATCGCAGTCTGAAGCGAGTGCTTGCAAGTGCGACACATGGTCGCCCAGTGTAAAATTTGCTTTACCTGCATGGCTATGGCTTGAGAGTTTCACGACGAATGTGTACACCACCAGTTTTCCACACATGGAGCCGGTCGAAAATGCGCATCCGCCAGGTGCCAAGGCCTCAGCGCACGTGCCCGCCGCCTTGTCGGAGTTGATGTCTCGTTCGGGCCCCGGCAAAGTCTTAAAGAATTCCTGCGGGGTCCTGAGGACGGAGATGATACTGGCGACTTTGGTAGGAGGAACAGTGACATGACTGTGCTTGTGGCTGCTTGTGACTCTTGTCGGGAATAGTATCCCATAGCGTCAATCTTTGATCTCTCGTCCCTCTCGTTTCGTTTCGGATAGTTTTAAAGCTTCTCGGTTAGAGCCTTGATGGATCGTCTATGGATAGTTTCTGTAGTGAAGTGCCCTTACAATGCTTTGGATCGAAGAGTCGAGGACAGCATCCGACGCACCAAGGAAATACAGCAGGGCGATAGAGCCAACTTTCACTAACCATCCCCCGGCACCCTAAACTGGCGAGCCCCACAGCCCACGGCCTTTGAAAAGCCTCGAGGATGAAACGGAAACCCCGTCCCTTTCGATGTCGAACCTGCGCGAGCCCAGGTTTGGGCATCTCCTGGCGCCCCGACGCAGGGGCAGCTGCAGCTCCGGAGGCGCCGAAGGCGGGCGAAGCAGGCATTTGGGTTGGAGTAGATCTGAATGATTCGTTAGCCAGCCTCCCTTCTTTCAGATTCCAATAAGGGTCCCATTTTTGGGGGCGTCATGGTGTGTTGGGGTTCAGAAAGTGAAGGACCCCAGAGATAGATTTGCGAGCACCAGGTGAACCTGAAGTCCCTGGAGCTCGAATTCCACCTCCAAAATCCTTCATCCCTATAGAGTGGAAGCCATCTAAAGCCTTTTGAACACTCCAGGATGGACTCTAGAAGCTTGAAAACTCAGTAATTCGTAGCATTGCTTAGGGCTCCTTACGATAAGTCTCCTCTGCCCCCAAACCCTGTTGAAGCTACCGGGGCCCCCAAGTTGGCCTTGAAAGGAGCCGGAGGTGAAGGCTTTAGAGTCAGGACCTCGGAAGTCCGCGGCGGTCGGCACAAAAAGTCCTACCATCACCCGTGCTCTAAATATTTTTCCAATACTTTTTTGGGGGGTTGCTCAGTGTAATCATAGTTCATTCCTGCTACCGTTGCATTACTAGTTTTGTTGTCATGATGAGACGTAGGTAGGTAGGCATGAGGGCAGGTAGGCAGGCAGGCAAGTAGGTAGGTAGATAGGTAGACGTAGAGAGGTGGATATGTGGATGAGACTGCAGGATAGAAGAATAGAAAGTTAGGGAAGGACAGAAGGATAGAAATATGACAACACACAAAAGATAAAGACAGAGCGGTAGAGTATGGAAAGAGAGAAAGAAGGAAGGAAATAGAGGACGGCGGAACGAATTGCCGAAATACGTAAATAAGACAGAAAGAAACAAAAAACAGTTTGACGGGTAGATGCACTCAATTCTTTGTTTCTTACACATTGCATGCGGTTACAGAAAAACAGCCGCAGGTAACAACATGGTATTGCATCTCGAAGCACCTCAAACACTGCAAGTAACTGTGGGTCTGTGCACGCCTGTCGCCCAGCACAGCGCAGCCTGCTTGAGCCTAGGCCTCCTCCGGAGCCTGCCGACGAGAAGCCCGATGAGGAGCCCGATGAGGAAGCCGACGAGGAGCCCGATGAGGAGACTGAGGCCGAGAACAAGGAGGCCGAGGACCTCAATTGGAGGGATTTTGAGCTTCGGAGTCGCAGGAAGATTTGAAATAGTCCATACAGAAGACAAGAAATATGCCAAAGATTCGGCTGGAGTCGCCCATGCAGGCGGGAGCTTACAGTACATGTCTAGGCCACAAGGTCTTTTGTGTCCATGATTACCGGCGACGGACTGTCGGCCCCGTGGACGCAGCAGTCCCATCTGGATGAAAGGAGCCGGAGAGAGTTGAGGAGATGGAGGAGATGGAGATGGAGATGGAGGAGCGCGAGGATGCCGAGAAGGAGGGTGAGGAGGAGATGTACCTTGCTTGGGCCCTGTCGTGGTGTGTGACGTGGGCACGATTGCACTGTGCAATTCGATTGGACGGGACTTCGCTCCGCTTTCGCGCTCTGCTTCCTGCAAAGACTTTGTCGGGCACGCCTAGGAATCACATTCCTGGACTCGCCGTTTTGGGCTCGCAGCTGTGCTTTTTTCGCGGGGCAGGGCCTTGCTTTTCAGGTCCCTGTCGCCATGACATCTGCGACTCGCACTCAACTTCAGACAGCAGCATTTGAAGTACATGAGTTTTGGAATGACGAAGACTTCAGTCTGCGGATCCGCAAAATCGAAGGCATGAATGTAACTCTGCCATCCAAGGCAGTGTCACCAGCAGATCTGAAATCGCTGCCAAACCTTCCGGGCTATACCTTTCCAGAGCAGGGGCCCTGGGCAGAGGTGCTGTTGCTTCTGACTCCTCCGTTTTGCTCCCAGCTCCGTCCAGCATCTGGACAGACAAATTTGCCACGATACCAACTAGGGGCTCGTTGTCCATGTCTATACGACATATATATATATACACACACGCATATGCATATATATATATATATATCCATGTACATACATAGATACATACATACATACATACATACTTACTTACTTACTTACTTACTTACCCTACCTTACCTTACCTTACCTTTACTTTACTTTACTTTACTTTACTTTACTTTACTTTACTTTACCTTACTTACTTGCTTGCTTGCTTACTTACTTACTTACTTACTTACTTACTTACTTACTTACTTACTTACTTACTTACTTACTTACTTACTTACTTACAACAAGAAGTATTAATGCATAACACATGTTGCGGCGTAACATCATAACATATTATAGTATCATATACCATAATAGACTACGATATATGCTTTTGATCTATTGCAGTCTATTATTGTATTTTGTTTTATTCTATTGCATGACACTGTATTACATACGACGACTACTGTGGCCATTATTATTGTTGTTGTTAATTTTCATTGTTATATATATTATATTATGTTATATTATATTAGAACGCATTACATTATATTCCATTGCAATATAGTATATAATTCTATATCATATCATATAATACAGTATACCATAAGATAATATAATAAAAAATATAACATATTATAATGTAATAATAACATAATTACAATATAAGTATAAGATGATATGGTATCATATTCTATTCAATTCTATCCTATTCCTTTATAATATGTTGTATTTTAATATAATATATTATAATATAATACAATAATTGCATTATATGTTACATTGCATTACATGACATGACATTACATTACGATACATTACAGTACACTACAATACAATACAATAGATTACAGTACAATACAATACAGTACAATACAATACATCTAAAAATATATATATATATATATCTATATATGTATGTATGTATGTATGTATGTATGTATGTATGTATGTACATACGGTATGATACATGACATAGTATCACATAACATAATACCACATAGAATGTAATGTACAATATCGCGTACATATAACATATCAGGTTTTCCATGATCAGGCGCCGAGTGCTTCGTCCTTTTGGCAATCAGTATCAGGGACCAACAGTCACTGCAGCGATGCAAGTTATGCGGAGACTGCACTGCGACGACGGGTGTGTGCTGGTGGCGGGACTGGTTGATTATGTGCACCGAGGCAAGAGGTCTCACGTCAGAACGACCTGGGTTTGCTTGGGTCATAGAGTTACGGCTGCTCTTGCTGTTCTTGATGCCTGCTTGTGCTGTCCTATAGCGCAAGAGCTACGACTGCAAGTCTGACCGCGACAGCAACCCACGACCTCTGACCCACTACCCAATACCACAGCACCACCTGCGAAAGTCCCAGGTACAAGGACAATTATGCCAGGCCGAACACTTGGAGACCTTGCTGCAACGGTGTGCCACAGCCGGCGGCTTTAGGCGCACTTGGGAGATCTGTGCGGGTTAAAGCTCTTGAAGGCAAATCTAGCAAACTCCCGAAGTCCAAAAGGCGTGATTGCGCTTAGATCCCTCAAATTACCCCTTGTACCCTCGGCCTCCGACAGAAGGTCGTCAGCCCGCGTGGGGCCTCTCAAAGCTGGGAGCCTGCAACCCCAGGAATGTGGTGAACGGCGTGCGCATCGAACAGAAGGAAGGTCTCTCCTTCGACAAGCCAAAGTTCGTCAAGGCCAGCCGCTGGGGTCGGGAAGCATCACTGCAAGATGAGCGGCGTGAAGAAGATAACTCCTCCTGCCCTGCCTCCTTCATCCTGGCCACCATCGTGCGCAGCATCATCGTCAGCACCATCATCATCATCACCACCATCATCATCATCGGAATCACCATCATGATGATCATCCTCACCATGACCATCATCGTCATCACCGTGATCATCGTTTTCATCTTCACCATCATTATCAGCAACATCATCAGCATAAGCCACAAGCATCAGCATCATCAGCATCATCAGCATCATCAGCATCATCAGCATCATCAGCATCATCAGCATCATCGGCATCATCATCATCATCAGCATCAGCATCAGCATCAACATCAGCATCAGCATCATCATCATCATCATCATCGTCATCGTCATCATCATCATCATCATCATCAGCATCACCGTCACCATCATCATCGGCAGCAGCATCAGCATCAGCATCAGTATCATCATCATCATCATCATCATCCTCATCATCATCAGTATCACCGTCACCACCATCATCGGCATCAGCATCAGCATCAGCATCATCATCATCATCATCAGCATCAGCATCACCGTCACCATCATCATCGGCATCAGCATCAGCATCAGCATCAACAGCAGCATCAGCATCGGCATCACCATCACCACCAGCACCATCATAAGGCCTTTGTCGGCAATAACACCCTGCAGGTGAGCAAGGCTCCGGACGTTTGGCGGTCCGGCTCTCTGCCCGATAGTCAGACCCGCGCCGTCTTCAAGAATGCCACTCGGACGTTTGCGGATGGAGGAAGCGGTCCCTCAGACACTTCAAGTGGCGTCTGAAGACATCGCTTTCTTACCAAGCTGATCGTCATCGCCACTGTCATGTTGATGAAACAAGTGGTGAGTACGTTGTCAATCACAGGTATTGTTGTTCGATGAAGACTGAAAGCAAGGCATGGTACGATCATGCTAGCAAGTAGATGCTGCTGCCGGTGGCGGTGATCTTGGTGTTAGCCGTGGTGGTGCTGCTGGTGTGCGGGATCAGTGCCGGCGTTTCGCTGCTCCAAGGCGGGCGCCGACATCCAGTTCCAGGATTTGCCGGCCTGGGACGCCTTCGACCGCCACGTCTTGCGCTTTAGCGGCTACTTCAAGGATTCGCTAGAGTCGGGTCGCGGCTTTCCGTTCTCCACTTCCGATTTGCTCCCTTGCTGTTAAGACGGGGGGCCCAATTGGTCTCATTCTTGCCACGGTGGGAGTTGCTTTGCCTTTCACGCAAACAGATAGGAATCATGTGGCTGGGCTTCCTTGCTGCTATTCCGTGCCTGACCTTTTAGCCTTGAAGACGCAGGAGTCGGTAGTGGAGACGAACCTGGAGAACTTCCGCTCCCTGGCTCAGTTGCGTTTAGTTCAGGTACTCTGATGTCACGAAGCCTCAGACATCTCCTGCGGGATTGGGCCGGAGTATGTACATCTCAGGTCACAATATCCCTAGACTCAGCGGAGTAAAGCCACAAACCCCGAAGCATCGCATCTCCCTCAGTGCTCTTCTGGCCTCCGAAGCCCATGGAACTCACCAGGTGTTCGGAAAGTAACCATCTACTACTACCTGGAGGACACGCTTGGCACAAGGGTTTGAGTCTCTGGTATGGTGATTCTTTGGCAATTCAGCGTCGTTCTAGTCCAACCAACCATTTGGGAACGACTTGCTTCATGATATTGTTATGGCTAGGGCTGTGCGGGCTGCGTCGTAGATCAAGCCTAAAGGCCCTAAACCCTTCGGGAAAAGGGAAGGGCCTCCCTCAGCGAGGATGATACTTGCCAGATCATCGAGCCGAAGCAGGACAACAGCGGCATCCCGCAAGGCCAGACGCGAAGGGTTTCCGCAACTCAAGGTGTTTGGGCAGGCCTCGGAAAATCTGGTACAAGCATAAGGGCTGCGGCGAACCGTACGATTGAACCACTTTGCACCCCCGAGCCAGTCGTTTGCAGCAGGCATGCGGGCTTTTGGACGTGGGCCTCTGATTTGGGCGCCTTTTCTGTGCAGCGACCTGAGGACAGCTCATTCGGCGACATCGCTTTCCGTCCGCCGACGGAGGCTACCTCAAAACGGAGGCGTTGCTGCACTGTACCGGTTTCCTTGACTTGTGTGACTTTCCGATAATTCAACGAGGAAGTCCTGTGGGTATGCCAGCTCCCTTGCCCTGACAAAAGCAGGGGCATTCACAAGACGGTCTGTTTGAGGAAGGTGAGTGGTCTTCCAACATCAGCATGGCATTTGCATCGCCTTGAATGACAAGCCCAGAGCTGAACTCTGTGGGAGGATATCCGAGTGGGCTCTACCCTTCAGATCTACGGCCGTAGCATCTTCGTCACGGACTGCGACCCCTTTACCAGGCCGTTCTTTCTTTTCTTTATGACTCAGGTTGTAGCGGCGCAGGCCAGCGGTCAGGAACTTTTTTTTAATTTTATGCAGTGTTTGGGCATCATATGACAAGAAGCCAGGTTTCGCAACGGCAAGACAAATTAGAGCAGGAGACTCCGAGAGCCGTGAAATGAAGAAGCTGCTATGTAGACATGTGCTCCTTTGCATACCCGCATACCCCTGCGCAAGCATGCAGTGTGCTGTATCTTGTCCACGTCGAAGTGTATCTTGTCATAGTACTGGCAGTTGCTCATGGCCTTCTTTCTTGTTGCTACTGTAAGTTCAGCTTTTGCGCATCTTGGTTGGCGCGTCTATCCCAGTAAGAGCACAGAGACACAAAGCGTAACCCTCAAGGCCCGTAAACCCGAAACCCTAAGCCCTAGTTCCCAGTTGCGAGCTGTCTCCAGCTTTGTGGTGTTTTAGCTAGGCAGGGAGGAAACGAGCTGAAAAGTAAGACAACACCCCGAGCCACTCCCCGAAGCCCTAAGCCCTGTAAGCCCCTGAGCCCAAAGCCCCAAGGTCCAAACCCTAAACCCTAAAAACAACCCTAAACCCACCTAAAAGCCCCCTAAAGCCCTAAAGCGCTCTCCAGGGAGTTTTACGAGAGCGCCGGCGACCCCCAGGGCGCACCGGAGCCGGAGGAGATGGACCCCTTCCAGGACACCAAGTAGGGTTTAGGGTTTAGGGTTGAGGGTTTAGGGTTAACCCTAAACCCCTAAACCCCTAAGCCCTAAACGCTAGAAGACGTTTGGGCTTTAGGGGTCTATAGGGGTTTAGGTTTCAGGGGCTGTCTGCGAGGCAGGTAGGGCAGAAGCGAAGAATGCTGAGGTTCTTTCGGTGCAGGCTCGATTTGGATGCCTCGGCCTTTGATTTTTCTATGGCTGTCAGGCTGTCAGCGGTAGAAGAGTTCCAGGAATGCTCCTCTCACTTGTCGTCGCCTCGGGGTGGTGGCATTTTCTTCCTTTTCGCCCCCGGCACGCGCGGCAGCTCAGTCTTTAACATAAAGACACCCGAAAACGAATCCCTCGAAGGAGACGCGCCAGGCTATGCTTCTTGGAACGCAAGGATCCTCATGAACACACAGACGAGTCTCTTGACAACCCTAGATTCAGGCTTGATTAGGTCGTGTTCAAGTTCGTCATTCCCAGTGTCGGCTTCAGGCCACTTCCCGGGCACATGGTTGTCGGCTTTCGCTGGCATTTCTCATGGGCTTGAGCTCTAGGGTCGGGTTCACATTCATGGGAGAGCATCGTCCCCGAATTCCTCAAGCCTCATGGTGCCTTGCGCCAAGGAAAAACCATGCGCCGGTCCAGCCAAGGACCTATGAAAAGGTTTACAGAGAGGCCGGGCTGACACACCGGAAGCTTTCATGTGTGCGTGTTCGGTGACATTAGAAGATCTGAAAGCAGTTCACCTTAGAATCTAATTCAGGCGATATGGGCTCAATAAGTTGCAGACCTAACTCGGCGAGCACCTCCAAGATTGGCAAACGGAGGGGTTGGAGTGCAAAGCAGGCGAGTTTTCAAGCGGGCAAGAAACCTCCATCATGCAAAAAGGCCCTGGATTTTGAAATCAAATCATCATCATCATCATCATCGGAGTGACAAGAAGTTCCGCCCGCAGCAGCCGGAGCTGCAGGTGATGCTCGGCGGTGGCCACATCAACGCTGACATGCAGCAGTTCTTGGAGAACGACAAGAGGGCCTGGTAAAGGGGTGGTTACCATTTCGGGTCGGGCCGTGCTCTTCAAGTGCCCACGAAGGGGCTTCACAGAACGCTGATGCACTACGTTCGAAGACGAAAGACGAAGCCCTGACGCAAAATCCCAACGCCTTCCAACACGGAGCGCAACAAAAACACCCTAAGCCCTGAGAGCTCACCAAGCCCTGAGCCACATCGAATCTAGCCCTAGTGAAGCAGGCTCGTAATGGTTTTGGAGCGGCGCTATGTTGAAACACAGTGTCCTGATATTTCACTTATGGTAAGCGCCCTGCCACAAAAAATCGCTATTGCCCCTATAGCCAACCCCAAAGCCCTAAGCCCTGAACCAGAAAATCTGTCGAACCCCAAATCCTGTAGCAAACCGTAAGCCCCACAGAACACTGCTCGCCGGAGGTGCTGAGATTCTTCGCCGTGCTAGATGATGTCAGGGCCCCGGCTCGGCTTTCGGAAGCCTAGTGATACCAAAGCAGCAGGAACGTGGAAGACATGTTTTGATTATCATCATTACTGTGAGAGTTGTTTCTAATTGTTTTTCGTTGTTGTCACCAGGTACCACCTCTATGCTTCTTCCAGCTTTGTTATCCGGATACAAGGGCAACTAAACTAGGTGAATGATTGTTATAGCTCCAGGAGTCGAAATGACAGGAGCCTGAGCCAGCCACATTCTGGACATTTTGCTAACACTGATACTGGTAATGCCGGTGCCGATCGCAACAGGAGGACTTGAAGTAGCAACAGCAACAGGGCGAGTTTAGCAACAAGAATCCCGCTGCTCCAAATCATCATTGCCCCTTCTCGAAGCCTAAACCCCGAAAAAAGTACCTCACGGAGCCCTTTGGGACAGAACCTGAACCTTGAAAGGGAACCTGAGCAGGAAAGACTTAACTGGCAGATGCTCTCAGGTCTTCACGCCTCAGTTTGAGCGACGGCGTGGGGCTCAGCCGTCGCCATACAAAACAACGTAGAACTCCGGTGTAGACAGGGTGTGTCAGTCTTGAAAGGGTATACATATACAGCTTTGGTTTCCACGATAAGCAACTGCTGTGTCAGCGTTTGCGTTTGGCGATGGTTAATGCTTGCCACATCCACGGTGCAGACCCACTCCTGAACCGAACGAGGCCGTTCACTATTATGTTCTTCCTTGCGGACGACATGATCGAAATCCGGGAGCAGTACCCGCTGAACTGTGGCAGGCTCGGCACAGGACAAAGAGACAAGTCTCTGCATTTTGCAACTGGGCTCTGTGTGAGCTTGCAGCTGACAGGGACAACTTCCCGATCTTCTTCCGCAAGGGGAAGATGCCAATGGGCGCGTACAAGGTCGAGGGACCTCAAGCGCAAGCCCGCAAGAAGAACGAGCACCCTGATGGCAGCGTTCATACAGCAACAGGTTTGCTTCACACGCCTCAGAAGAGGCTCAAGCGTCGCAACCTCCGAGGTATGTTCATGGCCACGACTTCCGAGTGGGCATGACTGTGCCTTGCTCAACAATTAGGACTGTCTGCGGGCACTGGCTTGAGCTCCGTAAGATGGTGAGAATGTCGAGTTTGGAAGGCTCGAAAAGTCCAGTCCCCCGAATTGTTCAAAGCTGCTTGCTATCGCCACCCAAAGCGTTCGAGGTTCAGTTGTTGGGCACCTACTCGTTCTTCATCTACGATGCAGACGAGCCCGCGGCTGAACTCCCAAACCATTCGTCGTACATCCCAGAACCCTAAGCCCGGAACCGTCTATCATGCACCTGTGGCTCAGGTTCACACGGCGCCACTTCGTGAACGAGCTCGGCATGGAGAGCTGGGCAAGGGGTGCGAGAAAGAGATTACATCGACTTATAGACGAGATGCATATTTATATGAAATTCGAACATGCAACCTGGTTGTGCACTGTGCGTTCTGTGCCCCCCCCCCCCCCCCCCC